CCCCCCCCCCCCCCCCCCCCTCCTCCGCTCCCATTCCTTGATCCTCTGGCCAGGGCCGAAAGCCCGCACTCCCTAGCCCACGGCAGGCCTTCTGCCCAGGCTGCCCGTGCTGCTGGGCCAAGTTTTCCGTTTCTGGAGCCACTCCCGCTCGCCCTGCCTCGCAGGCCTGGCTGATCTTCTAGAAGAAAGCTGGCTACAACAGCGTTCTCCCAGCCTGTGTCTCAGACCCCTTGATTACCCCTCTCCCGGGTCATAGGAGACTGGAGACATAGTGCCTTCCTTCGAGGCCTCCTGGCACATCTGGGCGCCACAAGTGAGCAGGAGGCCTGAGCTGACATCTGTTCTCCTGGAACACCCTCAGTGCCCTTGCCCACCACAAACTCGTCCTGTCCAAAGCTGGCCTCAGACTGTCTTTTGCCATGAAATTCTTCTGGTCAGAGTGAGGAGGCCCAGCTGCCTCCCCCACAGCGCACAGAGCATAGCAATGCCAAACACTTTTGGCTATTCTTTGTGTCTTGCTTAGATTAAAAATATGCCACCTACCATGGTCCGGACACCAGCCCAGTTCTAAGAGACAGCATGTCCTGTGTGCTTAACTAGTCATCCAGACAGCAAGGAACCCAACGGTGCCAAGGTTTATTGGCATCACAGGGCCCATCTCTGTGTGTATCCTCATGTAAGCCTCCAAAGACACAAGAGATTGAGAACAATCGTTTTCATTACTTTCCTAAAGCCCAGAGGGGCTCAGCCCGGGAAACCAGTGATGGCTGCTGGTTCCTCTTCTCTCCCCGGATCCCCTAGCCCACTGGTGAGTCAGCCTGGTGCTTCAGCAGTGCTCTGAAACAGTGTTCTTAACGTAGTGTGGCGCTGTGTCCTGTCGATGTGGCATATTGCATAATCTGTCCCCAACCGAGTTCCAATTTCTTGTTTATTTTTTTTTCTTCCTTCCTTCCCCCACCCGTGCCCAAGCTCTGTCACCTCTCGCAGGTTTCCCACATAAATTCAGAATGCCCTTCCTTTTCCAGTCCCTCCTCAGCTGGCGGACAATATTCAGTTTAAGCACTGCTGGTTTGGGGCCCAGCTTCCCACACGGACAATTATTTGCTGGTCTAGGCCTCCGTACCATCCCTCTGCAGTGGTTCTGCAGACTCTACCTCGCTGTAAACCATGGTCTATCCTAGATTATCCGTCTGTGCCTGGGCCTCACATATAGGAGACCCTCAGTACATATAAATGGAATTGCTTGCCGAGTGGCTGCAGGAACAGGACTGGACCTAAGTGAGATGGTCTGAATAGGTTATGGCCCCATACACTCATTGCGTGGCCCCCAGGGAGTGGCACTATTGGGAGGCGTGGCCTTGCTGGAGTAGGTGTGGCCTTGTTGTTGGAGTGGGTGTGGTCTTCTTGGAAGAACACTGTGGAGGTAGGCTTTGAGGTCTTACGTGCTCAAGCCATGCCCAGTGTAGCCCACAGTCTCCTTCCGCTGCCTGCAGAGCCAGAAGAGAACCCTCAGCTCCTTCTCCAGCACCATGTCTGCCTGCATGCCACCTTGCTTCCCACCATGATGATGAACTAAACCTCTGACACTGTAAACCAGCCCTGATTAAATCTTTTCTTGTGTAAGTGTTGCCGTGGTAATGGTGTCTCTTTGCACCAATAGAAATTCTAAAGCGCTCAGCAAGCCACGTTTGCCTACGGAACAATGCCTGCATCAGACTCCAGCTGATCCTTCCCCCTTCATCTCCTGGTTCTTAACTCAGTGTCCCTTGGCCTGGCACAGCAGGTCCCTCCTTCTTCAGCAGCCTGACTCCCCTTTGAAGAAAAAAAAAAAAAATCTTTGTAACTGCCACCCTGGCCTACATACACTCCTCCAGAAAGCTCCAAATGGGTATTATAGAGGCTTAAACTGTGGTGTGTGACACAGTCACACACAAAACAGCACCGCCTTGGAATCAAGCCCACCACAGCTTCACTACTCCATAGTTGGGCATGGAGGAGGGGTTGCCTAAGCTCCTGTGCCTGATGACTTCATCTGTGAAAGCATTTCATGCAGCAGGCAGAACACGATGAGTGTTTAGTAAGTACCGAGTGCCATTTTAGAGGCCAGGGACACATGACACGTGTCGTTTCGGAAACAGAATGTTCACTGTTAGGTCCTGTGGCAAAAAGTTTTATCTGCTTTCCAGCTGACGGTCACCAACCCTGTGAGGCAGTTGCTCTTTTAGCTCTGATCCTCTGATGGGGACAGCAGGTTCAGAGCATTGAAGACGTTGACCTTGTCCCAGGAGCTGCTAGAGACTAAGGAGCAGCCAGGCGAAGCTGACTCTTCGTCCACTGTCCAAATGCTGTTATATGTTTCTCATGTTTTGTTTTCAGCTACTCTTTCAAGGACCCAGAAAAGTGACCCAGAGGCTGTGTCACGATGGAATCCAAACCTGCATGCTCTGATCCTAACTCAGCAGCCCCTGGAGGGATGTCCTCAATCCCCTTCACTACAGCTGAGATGCTTGACCTGCTTCTAGCACTGAATCGGGTTGCTGGGCTGCTGAGGGCATTTCTGCCAGCAGGGAGCCTGAGCCACAGACCATAGGAGCAAGGGAACAGAACTCCTCCATCTTAAAAAGGCATCAGAAGACTTGCGGGTTAGGGCGCCACCTGGCGGACATAGCTTTGGGCTTCAGGCTTCTCAACTTGGCTCCTTACATGGAAGAGTCCTTCAATAGCTTTGGGACGTTATTTTTAGCCTCTGGAACCTTGAAAACATTCCAAGAGGCAGCGGAGCAGACTCTCTGGAAAAGCGTAACTATACAGGAAAAAAAAAAAAAAAAAAGGCTTTGATTCTGTCCTACTCGAGGACTCTAGTCTAAGCATCTGCCAGACGCAAACACATGGGTGTAGAAAGTAAGAATGAAGAGGAATCACCCCTGTCCCCAAGTGCTGGCACTCTGCTGGTTGCTAAGGGACAGCTGTGGACACAAAAGACAAGTAAAGGAGGGTTACAAGTAAACTATAAAATAAGAGAGACTATTGCGAGGGGAAATCTGGGGACTTCTCAGTCAGAGCTGTCATGGAGGATGGGCAGTATTCAGACCAGAAGGAACAGGAGGGGCTATCCGCAGGGGCCCTGAGCTTGCTGGATGTCCCCCTGGTATACCTAGAATAGAAGAACCACGATCGTTCTTTCCCCAATGACCCTTCATTGCGTGGGTGCAGCCTGAGACCTCGGGGATAAGACACTACGTTGCTCCGAAGAGGAGGAGAGTTTACAGTTAGGCAAGTCAATTTGGCCCACCAAGGGGTCCACAGGCCATAAGCAGCCTGGACTCTGGATAGAGGCAGGAGCTAGGGGCAACAGTCTGGGCGTGGACACATGGTGAAGGAATTTGAATGGCAACCCCTGCTCACCCCAAGGGATGTCAGCTAGCCAGACCAGAAGCCATAAGGTCCCCAGGGGCTCACTGTTGCCCTGAGGCCGTACCATCAAGAAGAGACCTGGAAATGTTAATGGAACCTCCCACTGGGTCTCTGATGGGGACATGCAGGCCCTAGCTAACCTCAGCTGGGAATTACTTGGCCAAGGGGCTCAGGAGGGAGAGGGAGTAGCCCAAGAGGAAGATCCAACATGTACAGAGCACCTCCACCAGGCAGCCCTCAGTGCTTGCCACCCTGACCTGGTTCACCTCCCACAACAGTGCTGTAACAAGACAGGTGCTTAAAAAAAAAAATCCTCAATTCAAAATAAGGAAAGTGAGGCACTGCAGTGCTTCACAAATCATCCGGTGTGTGCGGCAACTTGAAGAGAAAGAAACCGAATCCACACATTTGGTCTCCAGATGTAGACTTTCATCACTGTGCCTATCTGGGACGTCAGCTTTAGTCTGAGGGAAGATGAAACTCTTTCTCTGTGTGGTAGAAAAGAGAAAGTCCAAATGCCTGGCGATGGGTGAGCAAGGAGGAGCCAGGAAGAAGCCTAAGAGGAGGGGGGGTATACAGGCCCGTCTTGAGATCCACGCTTGGGAGCTTGGCCCTGCCTGCTGCTTGTTTCTCCTGCTATGGCACCTCAGGATGGGGCTGTCCCCTGATCCCTTTAATGCAAGAAGATGGACTGGAAAGGCAAGGCTGGAGCTGAGTGGTTCTCTGCCCTGAGTGTCAGCTGCATCCTCTAAAACCTGTGAGACTGACAATTTTACTGTCTCCATGTGACAGGAGGACAATGAGATTCAGAAGTTGAACTAGTAAGTAGCAGAGCAAGGAACTCAGGTTCCACGCATGGACACTAGAAACCACATCGGCTGTCATCAGGCTCCGAATCCGCTTTAACCATGCACTCCCCAGGAAGGCCAGCCTCACAGGAAATGCTTTACAAGACATTGCCCACTCGGACCACTTGGCTCTCCAGCCTCTGGAGTCTCTTAGAGATGTGGAAAGACACCACCCTGGCCTCCATTCTGCCCCTGAGAGACCTCCCCCATCCTACTCAAATGGAATAAAACCCCGCTGCCATGCCCCAAAAAGGTCAAAGTCACACAAGCCATCAGAGAGACGTGGCCTGACCCAAGTAGCCAGCTGACTGGCACAGACCAAATAAGGCAACAGGTG